GTTATTCAAAAAACAGTGGAGCACATTCTATTTTGAAATGGATAATAATTTCTAATCAAATATCAATATTTAGTTAGATTTATTTATATTCATCAAGCTTATATTCAAATTCATAATCAATATGAACAAAAACACGTTCAATTTCAGCCAATGACTAAAGTTTCATTTGCAAATTAATATCAATATCATGTGCTTGTTGTATTTGCATATTAACCAGTAAACCAATATCGACTAATTATACAATAAAAATGAAATTAGTTTTAATATAAATCTGAGTTTTACCTTCAACGAGAAGATTAGTACGAAAATGAAAAGCTTTTACCACAACAATTTTTGTAAGATGTGGTGAAAAATTAATAGCAATCCGTGTTATCAATTTGAGAAAATCTGGATCAGCCATTACACCTGTTAAATGACGAATATGTACTATTAAGAATTAAATATTTAGAATTTTTAAGGAATATGTTGTTGTGTTATAAGTAGCTAGAAGAATCGATGAAATAAGAATATAAATAGAGATGATTATTGCTCCAACTAGATAGAATATTACAAAAAAAAATATATATTTAATTATTTATTCTTACGTGGATCAACCACAACAAATCATATATCAATTTGTCGTGAAACAGCTTGCCCAGCTATATAATAAATTTCAAAGAAAATTTACTCATGAAAATTCGATTATAAAACTTACCAAGAAGGCCAGAAATGAGTGCTATACAATTAAATAAAACATCATTACGATAATCTAGTGCTAATGCTTTTATTGTTGCCACTGGAACACCACGGCAAAAAAAAGTATAAAATGGTTTTAAGCATTAAATAAGAGAATATATTAAGTTCAAAATAAATCATAGATAAGAAAAAAGACTGGACATCCTATTAGATGGTTAAATCAAATTGTTGTAGCACACGAATGTAATTGTGATTCATTACATTCATCAATTTAAGTTACCGATAGTTATACACATAACAATAACTGTCATTGGTTGTTTAATATTCATATTAACTTCAGGTATTTCATTTACTATCTGAAAGAATATTAAACCAAATCTAAATGTACTAATACACTACAGTCCATAAAAAAAGTAACAGCTATTCTGTGTTTCTATTTCTTTTAGGTTTTTTTCTGTTTTTCAATGAAACAAACAATACATTAAAGTTAATCATCACCGGCAATACGTCACCAGCAACTGAAACACCGTCCGGCCAGTTTAAACCTATTGTTTCTTCGATGAAACGTCGAGCAAACTGTTGGCAATTTAGACTTGCACTCCATTTTTGTTCATATAGTTCAGCCATGTGAGAATATAAATAACTTGTCTAAAAATTAAAAAAATAACATTAGAAAGTGATACAAATAATAAACCTTACTAAAAAATGAAGTAATGATTGTTTATAAGCAACTGCAATTTGAGGATTAATTAAATGTTGATGAATACCATTTTGCATCTAAAAAAAGTATTGTGCTCAGAAAACTAAAAGATGGTTTATTTACCCATGGATTATTGAGATATTGTGGTAATGGCTCAACACCACCTATATACTTACTCTCTGCAAGATTTCCAACGTATATCAATGTTAATCGCGATTTTGGTGACTCCCAATAATCACATTTGAAACTTGTAGAATGAGGAATTTGACCATCATTGGTGTTAGCTACGACATGACATAACACACCTTTAATGTTGGTGGCTGTTGATGTACCAGCTACATCAACAAGTACACTCGTGTGAGCATCTTTTGGACCTGTTGGATCATGCTTTATTAAAAAAACTTGATTTGTTAATTGTTGATCTTGAAGGTAAAGTGGAACAAAATGAGCCATCGAACTAAATTGTTCAAGTGCAGCTATTCCCATCAAACAAGATTATCTTTTGTGTGAATATTTTAATCTAAACAGAAAAGAAAGAGAATGTTAAAGGAGGTGAAATAACTAATAGTTAAAAGAAATCGATTAGTTATGTTTCATACAAATACATATTCGATCACTTAAAAATAAACATTGAAAAATAAATATGCTGTTGTTCAATCATTTCTTAGAATTAGAAAAAAATTCTTTTAGCTTTAGTTATATTTTATGAGAAAGTTTATTTAAAATTATTTTATCAAAATTTAATTTAATGGAAGAACGCTTATTATTTCATTAGTTGATTTGATTGACTAATCAAAACAAAACTGAAACGATATATGATGATGATATAATATCATTGACATTGTTATTATTTCTTTTTCTTTTCTTTAAACTTCTTTTATTTCTATAATCATAAATATATATTAATTATATAGATTGTTTTCAGACGATTCTATTTTGAAAAGTCGATAGCATGGTTAATATCTTTTAATAGAATAAAAAATGAATTAATCTATTTAAAGATATATCTTGATAAAATTCTAATCGATCAATAAGCGATGAGTAGTTTTCTTCGATATGCAAACTTGATTCAAGCATAAGCAGCTTAATGCTACAATGTCAATATCGAACAGAAACTTTGATAGTGGCATCATTCTTATTATCATCATCAAATGCTGTTATTCTATAAAAATAATCGAATTGCGTTGGATGATACTGGTGCCCTACCATCATTGGATATTGATCGTAAGCGTATGTATCTACACATTGGTAACCATGGAATTTTTGGTTAGAATTTGAAAGGAAAAGCTAAATATATTGATGTGGTTATATTTCCTTGTCTAAGTATTCATATTCGTTCAGAAGTTGATATACCTGAAATAGTTGAATAAAGTAAAAAAAAGAACAATATGATTGAAAATATTTATAAAATGAAAAGAAACAACGACATATAGTTAAATTTTTCTATTTTTAGTCGAATAATTTCTTTTTTTAATTTTTAGTCTAGCGTGTAAGTTTTCGTCAAACACTCAAAGAATTTTTATGTCCAAGGGATATCTCAAAATAAATATTTGAAATTGAAGTATAAGCTCTTGTGAATATATACATAATTGACTACTTTGCCAACCATTTACAAATGGTTCATCATGATCTAATTCATTAGCTTGATGTTGTTCATCAGCATTGGAAGAATAAATAAGTTGAAATTGAAATTTTCTTCATATTTGTTTATTCTCATAATAATTAAACGAATCGTTTATACCGTTTAGACATTAATTAAATTAATAGAATATTATTGCTTAGTTGGGTGTGGGTGGTGGGTGTGGGGTGTGAGTGGTGAGTAGAGAGCTGCGGGTCCATGTTTTTTTGGACCCGGGCCCCAGAAAAACTAAATTTTCAGACCCGGACCCGAACCTGGCTGAGTCTAAACCCGGACCCGGCCGGGTCTAGACCCGACCCTTTTTCACCAATATTTGTCACCCTATGTCTACATGAACAGAAAAGGGAACACAATTTTTGCTCTTTATTGGCGACTTTAAAGGTAAAATGAGTGTAAAATTATTTCTGACTGTTTCTTTTTCAATTTTGTTGACTTCAATTGTTATATATTTCCATTCATAACTTAATGCAGACCGGGTCTGACTTTTCTCTTAGGTTTAGACCCGAACCCGAGCCCGGGAAAAGCTAAATTTTCAGACTCGGATCCGCAGCTCTCTAGTGGTGGGTGTGGGGTGTGGGTGTAGGTGTGGGTGTGGATGTGGGTGTCGATATCTTCTCATGACACGCTCACACCCACACCCACACCCTCACCCCACACCAACACCCACCCACACCCACACACCCCCACACCCACCCACACCAACACCCATCCACACCCCACACCCATACCTCACACCCAAAATAACTTTATTGTCTGCATGTGTTTATGAACAAAAAAATCTTTCATTAACTGAAAGATAAAACGATAGACGAGCAAAAAATAATCAATTTCAAGGTTATAGATGATCAATTTAAATCACATCAATATAAAGAACAATTTAGAAGAAATATTCGAGGTGATCAAGACAGGACAGAAACAGTAACAAGAGAATCAGTTGCAATTGAAAAACGAACGAGAAAGTAAGAAAAGATTTTTATTAGATTTATTCGACTTATATATATAGAACCTTCTCTAACACGATACCTATTTTCTTTTCTTGTTGTTTATCTAAATTTTCACTTTCTTCTCTTTCTTTCGTGACTCTATGTACCGATAAGATTTTCCACCACTCTTCTTTCTTTTCTTTTCTTTTCATTAAATTTTTGAAAGAATCATCCGTGTCTTTCTCGTCATGTCAGGATGATCTACTGCATAAAGTTGTTATTGCGTGTGCGTATGCGTACACGTTCACTTGGATAACTAATATAAAGTTACAGAGCATATCAGAGACGTGCACTGCACCTAAAAATCGATGAGCGGCGGCGGAAAGTATGAGTTAAAATTTCAAAAAGTGACGGCGGTGCGGACCGCTCCGTAAGCCTTTTTAGTGAGCGGAACGGCCGCACCATACTTCATTCAAAGGGTCGTACGCTGCGGTCGCTCCGTCGAGCGGCCGTTCGATAACCACCGACCGGCCGCTCTGGGCTCACTCAAGTTGTTTATCGCGATTTGTTTCGCGGGTTTATTGCGACATTTTTTTTAATGAATGCTACGTACTCTATTGATCCCGTAAGGTCGGTTCAATGTAATTCAATAAGTCTAGAAATGTATCGATGGGATAGGAAAAGTTATTAGAAAATAACTTAACAGTAGCATAGAAGATAATAGCTTTTACATAAGTATGATAATGATGGAGATTACTGTAAACCTCTCCTGTAATAGAAATTCCCCACCATATTAGAAGCTTCCACCATATCAGAAGCCACTAGAGAGTGATTGGTATGAAAGATGTATTAGAAGCCTAGGACTTCCATTACACCCAGGAGTTTTCGGGGTTTTTCAAAGTCGGTCTTCGTCTCCGCACTGTTAGTTTACATTGGCAAGAGTTCTACATATGTGAAAGTGCACTAGACAACACCTCACAAAGTGCTCGCCGATGATTCTAACGGTAGTGAAAAGGTGAGTGTGGATGTATCTCCGGGCATGTCTAGGGTATGAATGGCTAGCGATGTCGTTGTAGGTGTAAGTCAAAAGAGGAGAAACATCCACACCGACTCACCAACACCGGAACTCACAACTACACTCACTACCCAGGTGAAAAAATCTTATGATGATCGTATAAGATCTTACAAGATCTTACGGACCATCGGATATCGTAAGATTCATACTGTATGATCTTACAGAATCGTACAAAAATCTTACTGTAAGATTCTTACAAAATCTGATGATCAGATCGTATGAGACCTTGTACGATCGCATAAGATCTGATCATCAGATTTTGTAAGAATCTTACAGTAAGATTTTTTATAAAATCTGATGATCAGATCTTATACGATCGTATAAGATCATAATAATAAGTTTGTCTTGTGTAAATAATTTTTATAGCGATAGTTTTATGTATTTAAATAAATTCTTAAGCGATTAAATACGTTCTAATTTAAATGATGCATCCTTTAGTTTTGAAAATACATCTTCTATATATTAGTGTCTATCTGGTAAAAAGTTACACCACTTGTTAAATCAGTTTGACCAATCAAATTTATTGTTGTTTTAGATAGTAATGTCGAATAAGTTATTTTTGCACTCCGAGTACATAAAAGATAGGAGAACAGATAAAGACATTGTACGTATATCATCAGAAACAATAAGGAATCGATTCTTACTTTATCTTATTTTTTCTCTTTCTAATATCCGACACATTCACCGACGTCTTCTTATAAAATGACGAAGAATCTTCTCGTCGGTGTTTTTAGTCTATATTATCTATTCTATGATGTACGAAAGTAAATTGCGCACATCATTGTTAAATAAGTCTATCTTGTCTTACTTTGATTTTGTTGTCAGGTGTACACTCTAAAAAAAATCCGTTTTCTCGGAAACCTATAGAAGGTTTCCGGGTTTGTCACTATATGAAACC